TCCTTCCTGAGTAATTAAAAAATGTATGAAAGGAAACTAGAAAAGTAAAAACGAATGCAAGAACAGAGAAAAACATGGTTTTTCTTAGTTTCCCTCTCCCTAAGGCTTTATTTAGTATTGCAGCTGATTTTCCTCCCGGGTCTTACTTGCGTAGCAGGTAAGCGTCTTTGCTCCTGCGTTAGACAGTTGCAAAGCTGTGTCTAGAACGAAATGATGCCAGAATCTCAGACAGGAAGGCCACTCCGTGTTGGGTTCTTTGTTCTTCGGTCTAGACAAACTTTATTTCAAGGCCTTGTATCATCTACTGATTTCTTTTTCTGGGCTGATCCTTTTCCAGCTTCCTTGGTTTTGTTTCCTCATTTTTTTAAAAAATGATTTTTTAAAAGGAGATCTCCCTCCAAGGAGGGAGCATATACGTGCGCGTGTCCCAAATCCTGACAGGATAGAGAAATGAAGGAAACAGGATTGTGGCATAACCATGTCCCACTGAGGGGGTACTTTCTCTCTCTCTCTCTCTCTCTCATCATCATCATCATCAAGCACTTCAGAAAGTTCTCTTAAAACTATGTCATCACCATGACTTATTAAGAAATTCGGAACTACTTTTAAATGTGTATTATAAATATGTGCCTACGTGATCGGTGTCTAGAACTTGGTTGAAAGAAGAAACAAAACTTCAGCATTACCAAAAGATTTGTTTTATCCAGTTTTTAAGAAGTGATTAAATATTTACTTGGAGAGTTGGGCTTTCGTTTAGTTTTGTTTTCATTACGTTAAAATAAGAGTTTGAGTGAAAAATAAAGTCAAAGAGAACTGAATCTCTCCAATAGCAGTAATTGACTTGCAGGACTAAAAGCAAAATTGAGTTACGGATTCTGTGTCCTGCTCCTGTAAACTCTCCCTGAGCTGAAGCAGTAATTGCAGGACTTCCTCTTCAGCCCTAAAGAATATAGCAAATCTGTGTCCCTGATACGGAGGAGACCCTCATAATTGCCCTGGTTTAAACGCTGGTAAGAAAACACAGTCAAGAACAAGTGACCAGGAGAGCACTTTCTGGAACTGTATACAACAATGTTAAATGAGAGCTCTCCCACTTGACCGAAATGGTCAAGTTATATTTTATGATCATTTTTCTTCTTTATTATATATCTATCCCTCCAGGTTTTTATAAAATTTAAATTTTTTATTTATTTCTCCCATAGGCAGCAGAGAGACTGAGACTCCCTAACAGGATCTTGACACCATGACCCACCCCTAGCCTCCCCCAGCCCTGGATCATGGCACATGCCTGCCACACCCTCCTGGTGTACTCAGGAAGGTATCCAGATGCAACCCCAAAACTTTCCCATGTGGGTCAGCTTTGCAGTACACAGAGTGCCACATTTCATCGCTGTTGTGTGAAATTAATTGCCACCTCTGACCCCTCTGCTGTAGGTTCTTGCACTTCTTTTACCTAAGTTTTCTCTCTTGGCCTGCTTTATTTGTAAATTTCTTTCTTCCTTGCCACTTTGCCTTGTGTTCACTCCTCTCCCCAGAAAATCGGGCATGAAGCCTTTTGAATAGTTTTCTTCATGGCTTTCTTATGAATTAGTTATCAAGAAGAACCACTGTTTTCTCCCTTCCATATAAATATTATTCACTAATATGTCCCTACTTAGGGGTTAATCTAAACCTTTCTTAGCGTAGTTTCAGATCAGGAGGAATAGAAGTAGCCCAGCTTCCCTCTGTGTTCTTATCCGCATTGAGAAGATGGCCCAAGCCAGGAGAAAACCATTGCAGGAGCCGCAGAAAGCGCCTTCGGTAGCTCTCCCCATCAGCTATGGGATGAGCTGTAGAAAGGCCCTGAGAAGTCTGGAGGAGCACAGATTCCTCCGGAATCAAATCCAAGGAAAGAAATGGCTCATTAAGTTGTATGAAATTAATCGCCAGCTTTTCAGAAGTATTTGGGTCTGAAGCGGTAAAAACTATTGTCTCTTTTTCCACTGGGGTGAGGGGAGCATGGGGACAAGTTCCCAACTAGAGGTGTAATTTTCAGGATTGCGATACGTTATTTCGGTCAATTTCCTGAGTCACACCACCATCATGAGCTTCTTCTATTATTCTGGAAGAATTTGAAAGGCTGATCATGGGTTCAGCCTCTCCAGGATTCAACACACACCCTGAGGTCAAAATCTCTTTCCACCTTTAATGACCCATTTTGGGAGCAAAATAGCCATTGAATGAGGTTTAACTTGATGAAAATTAAGTTCAGCATTGGTGATGTCTTACAGTCCATGAGAATAATCCAAATGAAGACTGCTTAGAGACTTCAGCTCCTGCATAGCAGGTCCTAGAGAACGGACTTATTTTTGAACCGAGACCTATGAGGGGAAGCGATCACGTGAGCATGAAAGCGCTCTGCCTGCCAGCCCTGTGCACTTGCGGTCCCAGTTACTCGCGACACTCAGGTAGAAGGACTGTGAGTTGGAGGGCAGCCTGGGCGGCATAGTAAGATCATAACAAAATAAAACAAACAGGAAACTCTCCACACTCCCAAAAGAAAACTGCATGTGCTTTAGGTTTCTGGTACTTTGACTCCCCAGTGGGCCTTAAGACAAAACCAGATGCTGAACTTGGCAACTTCTGTTCTTATGAGGGAGAAGAGAAATGTGAACTAGTTGGGTTGCATGCAGCAACTTCAAAAAGATCATGGGAAAATGGAATTAAAGTCTGACTTTATTTTGGCACAATAAAAATGTGGAGTCCATGCAGAATTTATGCATGATACACGTTTCCATACACTTTTTGAAGATCCCACCTATATTATGGCCTTGATCCATTTCACTCTTGCAACTTGACCTCCAAGTTTAATTTGAAAACCTAGTTTTCTGAATGCACTATCTGTCTCTTAGATGTTTATGTAGGGCTTGCATGCCACACCAAGGAGAGGACAATAGCTCAACGAAATGCAATTATGGGACCAGCCTTCCGAGCACAATCAAGGAAAGGTGCATGAATATTTATGTCTTCTTTCCAAGGACTTTAGTGGGGAGGCGGCAGCATGGCGTGGTGACCACACGGCAGGCCCTTGGGTAGCTGAACTGCAAAAGGAAGTTAGGCCTGGGGCAGTTACGAAGGTCGCATGTAAGCATGTTGCTGGAACTCCCACAGGTGCCTGCTGGCACGCTCTGCAGCCTGCACTTCAGGTAAAGAACTCCTGGGGTGCAGGCTTCCCTTGCCTTTGGGGGATTTTTCAGAGTTAGTAGCACTTGTATGGCGGGAGAACAAAGGCTGCATCGTCTGGATGCTCACCCATGGGAGTCGATTCCTCAGGGGTACCTGACGGTTCTCATTCTAGCTCTCACATGCCACTGATCTCTCACTCTGGGTACTTGTTCAGCACAGGGAGGGGTGACTGCGGGAGTTGAGCCACTTTATATGCAACAGAGACTCTCACAGAGAAGGGGGATTTCACAGCACGGCGCTCACCACCCCGAGCAGACCAAGCCATTTTAATCTTAGGCAGTGTCACATCTGTCATAAACTCATGTGGTTTCAAAAGAAGGAAAATCGACAGAAAAAAAGAATCACCTCTGTTTCATCATTGTTTTCTCTTATTGGGTAGTTTTAAAATATTCATAACAATGGACCATTTTACTTAGATGAAAGCCACTGCAGTTACCGATTGCAGTGAATACTTTTTGTTTGCTAATTTAAAAAACAGTTCCATGATCGGCGTGGTGTTTATTATGAAATGATGACAAAAGAGTTCTGGTGGTTTTAATAGTTTTAGCTTACGAGCGCTGCCGTTAATTTTGTCTGTAGTGTTGCAGGTGAAAAAATGCACAATGGATAAATAGTCTATATTGGTTTAACTGAACATAATATATAGTGTGTTCTGGAGTTGTTTGTCTCAATAGACTATAGTAATCAAAAGTAATGAACCTATTATGTGCAGGACCTTGGAGAGCGCCGAATGGCAGTAAAAGTGTGGCACATAAAAGGTTTATTAAAGGGAATTAAAGTCCATCATTGCCACACCTGCTCCCCTATTATAAGTCTATGGCAGGTCAGTGCCTTCAATCACAACTCAGCCTCTGAGAGCGGAGACGCGGCTCCCGTCACCACCGCACTCACACCGCCTCGTGCTGGTGTCAGAATTTCAGCACGGGCAGCGCGGACAGCACCTTCTGCCTCTGACTCCACAAGCAGAAAACGCGTCCTTATTTAAGAATTCCTTCAGATAATATGCAGAAGTGAATTAAATGATGAGCTGGTCAGCAGATTCTAGAGAAGTGGGTGGGTGTAGTCGGGTGGGAGTCTGCAGAAACTGGCTTCTGAAGTCTTTGCCTCTGTTTGATTTCATTTCTGTGGTTACATGTCTGTGTTTAGTGGTGATGTCTTTGGGGATTTGATACTGACACACACATTGCTCACATTTCACCTTCCTTACACACCGGGGGGATTGCTACCAGATTCCAGTCCTGGAATTCTGGGAGTAAACATACATCAATAATCCAAATTCCCAATGGTATTTGGGGATGTGTTTCAGGGGGTTGCCTTCATCACGTTTTTTTACGCAGGGGATTCTTTTTTCCAATCTAGAAATAGTTATGTGTCAGAAAGGGTCTAGAAATGTAAAGGACTTAGATCTCAATAAATCAGTCCAAAATCTTTTGGGTTGGCAATCGAGGCTCTCCTTCATAGACATGGTTCATCAGAAGGTGCTTTTTCTACCTTTGCAATGCACAAGTGTTTGAATCACCGGCAAACACTTGTGGACAAGGATGCGTGCCCTCTTGTCACTGTTCCCTCTGCTTTCCCCATCTGTGGATGTATTTGAAACACTGGTGGTATGCAAGGGCAGTCGCAGTTTTATCCCTGCAGAGCAGAGTGTGATTCAAGAGTGTGGAAAGCTTCTCTGTTTTTCATAATGACCTTCACAACTTTTAATTACATGTTTTCATGTTTTGGTCAATGTCAGAGGGTTGACCTCAGGACTTTGTTCGTGTTGCAGATGGACACAGAAGCTGAAGATAAAACGCTGTGTTCTCGCACTCAAGGAACCGAAGGTGAGCTAGCAAACGTGTTCTGTGACCCTGTGTCCAACCGCCAGGAAGCACAGGCATTCCAAAGCTCAGTCCCAGATGTATAGTCAGGATGGTGACAACTTCCTCAGACCTCCTTTTGTTTGGTTTTCAAACCAAGACAGGGCACTGGTTCTTGGCCTCTCAAGGCCAAAGATAATGAACCAGGATTTAACACTCGGAAAAGTCCACGTAGTGTATAATGCTAATTTTTACAAACTGCAATCGTGAGTGGATTTGGACATCATGCAAAACACCATAAGGTTTTGCAAGAGAAGGATGCTTTCGGACACCTTCAAATTATGGACATGACCTTTAACGGCCAAGGGAACAGACAGGCAGATTGGTTTACTGCCAAAGCAGGCTTTGAGTTTTACATGATCTGGTTTAGTAGCTCCCAATCTAAACTTAGTTCAAGTGAAATGACGATGTTTGTTTTTTGATTGTCCCTGCTGGGAATTTCCTGCAGCTCTGCAAAGTAATGTTTGGAAGGTTTAACTTGCCGGTTATCCTTCTCTTTTTGTAACCAACAGATGGTAATGTAATATTGAAATATAAACAGGCCCTGGATGATCTAAACATCTGGAAAACAGGATTGACTGGCAATAATGCCCCTTAAGGAACATAACTTTTATTATAATTAGCTATATTTGTGTGACCCTTAATTCTAAGTGGGAAACTGTAGGCTCACCATGGCCTCTGAAATCACTCGGGCTGGCTAGCTGCTTCCTACCACACCTGGTCCTTGAGTCTGCATCGCGGAGGAAGGGTGAGGCGTGGAGCTGCCTGTGCTCCTCTGGGAGGGTTTGGCATTTACAGTTGAAAATGCCCAGTTGAGTGGATGTTCTCGGTAGAGAACATGTATGTCTATATATGTAGTCAAGGTAATTAACCCCTTTGGAGCAAAGTCCAGGATCCCTATATTCAAGAGTTTGTTTATTTGTTTTTGCTTTTTAGTTAAAATGTAACCAAGGTTATCATTAACCATGGTAACCAAAATGCAGAATAACGGTCCATACAGGACTCTTCCCTACCCAAAGTTGTACACTGTATTAGTTTTCAGTTTCCGTTTAAATGAACCACATCATGTATCGTAATGTTCAGGATTCAGTTTTTACTCTTTTTTTTTTTAAAGTCTATTTATTTATTTCATGAGAGTGAGAGACATAGTGGGGGATGGATGGGCACCTTCAACAGTCTCTCACTAGAATCCCTCCTCACCACTTTCTTAGCCAGCCAGGATCAAGGGCATGTGCCCACATCCCACACGCATGGGTTGGCCCACGAACTGACCCCATGACCTTCCACATGGAATCAGCATCTTAGTAAACCACATCTGGCAGCACCACCATGACTGGCCCGATGGTTCTTTCTTTCTTTCCTTTATTGCCTGAGAGCATGTGCACTTGCCAGAGAGAAGCAGAGAGAGAGAGAGAAGGAGAAAGCACCAGCCCAGTGTGGCCATGGCCCAATCCCTTCTCCTCTGTTTCTCTATACTACTGAGATTATAGGCACACATATGCATACATTTGGAATCTTTTTCAAGCTTCTGGGCCAGGATTCAAACCATGGTCAGCCATGTGGAATCCAGTTACCTTAACCACTAGGCTACAGGGCCAGCTTCTGGCCTGGTATTTCTAAACACTAAATTTTTATGCAGCATGCTTTTCAATAGAATACAAGATTAATAAAAACAATTTGTTTTATTACTTAAGACAAGCTCAGGCTTGCAATAATATCCACATTTTAGAGACGGTATTTGGATTATTTGAATCTCTTACTTTGTCTTCTAAAGCACACGACTCTATCTTGCTTTTAAAACGTGGGTCTTTTAATTTGCAAAATTCATTTTGGAATGCACATTCTTTTGGCACGTGCATCTATACCCCTAAGTACAGCCAAAATGTTCTTCTAGAAATAAAACAACTGTTTCTCATGAAGCATGAGTAATCTTTAAGACCACCTGTTGTCTCTCCCGATATGCTGCTTATCCTGTGTAGGCAGGTATTTATAAACATGAGCTTCTCCAGTCCCCCCATTTCAGTCAGAAACACCAAAGCTCTTTTTCTGTAAGTTCTTAATTTTTATGCTTGTTGATATTGACGTAGCTGAAACTTACCTTCCCCTTACTTTATGTAGGAGGCTGATGGAATAAAATCTTGAGACAAGATTTTATTTAGCAAAGCTTTGCCAATTTTACTTCCCATTTAAAATTTTTCATTTATTTATTTTTTCCATGAGAGAGACAGAGACACAAAGAGCGGTAGCCCCCCCCCCCCCCACTTTTTTTGTTTGTGTTTTTTTCGTCCCT